CGACCATTTCCATTTTGGATTCGGTGGTATGTCGTAGATGAGGATGTGTCGATCTTCGAATATTGTTTGCATCTCCGTCGTGGAAAGGCTCTGGAAATCATTGAAAGACACTCGAAAAATGCATGACATTTCAGGGTCGTTTGGGTCGAAGACTCGAGATGCTGCCTTTTGTAGGGTATGAAGGGGTTTGATTCCAGTTCCGTCGAAGTTACGGATGCTGCCACGTTTTGCATCATACATTTCACGCATGAGATCCTGGAATATCTTTATCTCCTTCTTGGCCTGTATGAAAACCGTTCCTCATCTGCTTTTCTGAAATATATATATATTTGACTTACACATTGAGGGTGAGGTTCAAACTCGACTTCTGAAGATTGGCCCATGGTAGCTTCGCTTGATATATCGTAACGCGTGTACGTGCACTTTGTGTCTTGCGGTAGGCTGGGTCCGGCACTCGGAATTTCCTGTTCAACGGTGGGCTCTCTTTTCACAGGCGAAAAGAATTCAGCGAAATCTTTCTTGAGATCCCAGTCTTTCGACGGCGGTGATGGCTCCTCTGCTGGTGCTAACGTATCGTCTACTTCTGGTGCCAATGTCTCGTCTCCGTCTGGTTCTGGGGCATCCTCTCCTGTTGTCGGCGTCGCTTCTGGTGGTGGCGTTGGTGACCATTGAGATGGTGTAGTCGGTTTATGCACAGACGACGATGATGAACTGTCGTCTGAAGATGCTGAGTGGTCGTCTTCTAGATTTGATGTCCCTAACCGGTCTTCTACATCTGATGACCGGGTATGTTCAGAATCTTCCGGTTCTGTTTCGTCTTCCGAATCTTCCGGTGTTGTTTTGTTTTCAGAATCTTCTGATTCATGGGAGGGTTCCTCATCTATTTTATATTCAATTATAAGAGACGGTCTAGTACAATTATACATGTCGTCCACCACCTACCTGATGGCGGAGCGTGAGGACTCGGAATGTCAAAACCTGACTGGCCAATATCAATCTCTCCACCTATTTGTGATTACATTCCGTTTGGTGTCAATCCCTTTTTCATATATGTAGAATCCGTGAATCATTTATGCTCACCTTCGTCTGAGTCTTCCGATGAGGACTCATCATCGGTCCATACCGAATCAGCCTCCGAGTTGTGAATTGGTTGATATAGATGCATATCGTTGATCACTGAGTGATGCAACAATTCTGGAGTTCCAGGTACATCGGCATTTGTGTCGTCGTCAGAGCATTCAAAATCACCCCCGGCTTCGCTGTCGGGTATGTAATTGTGAAAGGATTCATCGAAACTGTTGCGTAGTTGAAGGATTGGTGCATCAAATGTGACACGGTCCGTCTCATCTGCAATTTAACAAGTGGTGTTCAATATGGTTTTACCCCTTTTTGCTTGGTAATTTGATGCTCACCTTCAATTTCATACATGCCTGTGTTATCCAGACTCGCCATATTGTGTCCATCTTCTCGGTTCAACATTTGAGCATCTCCATCATATCTGCCGTCACCGTCTGCCCCGCCGTCACCGTCTGCCCCGCCGTCACCGTCTGCCCCGCCGTCACCGTCTGCCCCGCCGTCATCATATCTGCCGTCACCGTCTGCCCCGCCGTCACCCTCTGCCCCATCACCACCATCTCCACCCGTATCGTCTGTCCTGTGGCCACCATCACCGCCGTTACCATCTGCCCTGGCTCCACTGGTCTCAATGAATTCAGTATGCACGTAGTCGCTCATCCATGAATCTTCGAAATCGACATTGCTCGTTGGTTCAATACTGGTCCCGACAAGTTCGCTGTATTGACTTTGATTGACCGTATTTGTGTGCACTTATTTTAGTCAATGTGTCAGTATAATATTTATGCACCATCAGATGTGATTTACCTTCATTTGTTATCCGTTTCCATATCTCCTTGAGATTCGATATCAGGGTTTCGGATTTGTTCTCCAACTCGAGTCGAACGATGATAGACGCTAATGCATCTGCACCATTTTTGGTAAGAGGGCAGTTGTCCAGTGGATGTGACGGTCTCGAATTACAGAGTGGGCACAATTGAGAGTTCAAAGAGGGGTGTGAAGATAATTGCGGCGAAATGGTATGGGTGCGCGATGTGTCTAATGCAGTTTGCTGTACGTTGTGATGCGAGTTCTGAATTGAAGCAGCGACCGGGGTATCGTCCCTTCGGTGTTCGATACTGTTGTTGGTGTGGCGTGTTTTGTGACGTACAGTATCGACCTTGTCGGCAAGATGTGATGTAGATGAATGAGGTCGAGTCTCGGTCAACCTACCGGGTCGGGTGTCTCGGCCTACATTTACATCTGTTTGCTTCATGTCTTCAAGTATACCGGTGCATATACTATCTATGACATCTTCAGATGTGGCGGGCATTGCTTTGCGGATTTGGTTGATAATGGTTGCACGTCTGGGGTCCTCCACTTCCTCTACGTCGTCGTCACAGTCGGAGTGTGGGTTAGGTGAATTATTTATCGGTTGTGCAGTCGATTCAGTGGCATCTATGAATAAATTAGGCTCTGTACTCAATAACAATAACAATCAACGGACTTTGTAAGTCTTCAAACCAAGTTTTTGCTTGGGGCTCTTCTCGTAGGAGAGTTTGAAAATTGGTAGATTGCCATGTCGATATTACTTCGAGTAAAGCTTCATCGACTTGCACGCCGACAGTGACCTTGATTACTGCGCGCCATATTGCTTCCTCTATTATTTCGATGGCAATGGGCTTGTTGACGTTTCCGATGGCGACACGTAGCTAACAGCATGCAGGTTTTAACATATGTGCAATTAGTCAGTTATGTATGCTTACCGCAAAAAGATGCTGGTATGATACGCGCATGTTCATGCATTTGGATGGGGGTGCCAGTAAAAGGATGGGAGATACGTGTAGCGCGAGTAGAAAAGGTATGAGAAGCTGATTATCGGGTGCTGAGTTAAATAAGTCCTCGTTCATGTCCATTGCCTTCATCTCGACCAATTCTCTAATTGTATATTGAGCACTTGTTTACCGTACCCATGTTATGTGCTTACCTTCTCAGGCTTTCGTTGATGTCAATAGGTTGATGAAGTTCGATTTCTGACTTTACGCATTATGAGATATAATCCTGGTACTGATAATAGTGGTACTTACATTGAGCAACCAAGACAAAGCGACACTTGCAATTGCTATGTTGTTCAACGTATTTGGCCATGTTTGTTGGAGCTCTCTGGTTTTAACGGTCCGTAAGGTCTTTATGGCGAAACGTGTTGTCTGCGTAATGTCGGATGGCATGGCCGCTAGGAGATCATGGATGGGGGTGTGAACGTGTGCTATATCTTGTGCTTGAATGTGTGGATGAGACGCGGTCGAGCTGCCAGAATCCGCCAATTGTGTGCCCGACGCAGTAGTCTGGGACTCATCATGTGGTGGTGTTGCATTGGACACAGAAGTACTCGACGCAGTAGTCTGAGTATCCAACTGTGTCGCTTGTTTGCTGATTGTTGATGCACCCTCGTATTGCGGTTGGCCTACATAGAGTGTTTCGCATGGTTGGGAAGCCTTTGCTTTAGGTGTATGCGAAGCGACGGTGTCGATCATGTCGGTCCAGTGAGACAAGAAACCGCTGAACAACTGTATCATGTGTAAGCATACACCGACCTCCAAAATGTTTATGTACTCACCGTATATAACCTTTGGCTTTTTTGTATTTCGAATAGTCGATGAGGTTGCGGTACGACTTTGGGAACTTCACCTTCTGTGTAACCGGAAACATGGGCCAGCATATCGAACACCATGTGCTGCCAAAATATGCGTGTAGTGCGGTTGAACGTAGCGGGAGCAGTGAGGAAGTATACAGCTTCGGGTCCGGATGGGGCATGCTCGGTGAGACCAAGGATAGCCCAAAGCTGCTGTGTACTGGTGGTGGCTTGATATAGAGTGTAGGTATCCCATTGGTCCAGTTTCGCCGCTTGAGTCTAAGTGTGTGAGTCAAATAAGTTCAGGGGCAATATATTACTGGGGTGGTTTATGAACTTACTCGAAGGAAAGAGTCATCACGATCCATGCGGAATATGCTCTTACAGCTGTTGAGCCACTCAGTGAGATGTCCTTGAAATGATATGGCACTGGTATCGAATGGAATTCCGGCCAACGTTTTCATGAAGGGCCGAAGATTCCTACGAGATGAGTAGGCCATACTAATTTCTCGGTTTATGTTGTCGTTGGCGTTGAACGTCGTAGTGTTCCATTTAGGAAGGTTGGTATATGGTGTTGAGCTATCGGATGGTTTAGACATTACTAAGAAGTCGGTATGTGTTTGAAAGTTTGTCGTTTGTGTAGTAGTACGAGTGTTGCGGTGACTATGGTCGCAATGTTCAAGTTGCGCAACAAGTGCTTACCGTGTCATCACACGTGACCACATGTGACCCAATGCGAACAGTCTATGTGGCGTATGTGGCGAGGTGGAATTCTGATAATATCTATATCCCACCTTCATGTACCTTCTGAATTCTCAACACGTTAGAGCAACTCTTGACCAAATACTATACTACTTCCTGAGTAAACACTGCTATCTGCATAAAGCCTACGTATTCTGTTCGTATCTATATATAAGAGTTTGTACAATGTACCGTACTCATCAAGATGGCCCGTGTAGTGCATATAACATGTACATATTTTACAGTGAGGTGCCTGTATAAAACAATTAATGTGAGTCAATGATACGTCCTATTTGGTATGGGCACTCACAATGATACTACGCGTGAGGGCGTGCGAGTAATGTGAACCCGCAAGTATAATGTTCGACTACTTGGCCGCCTTCACTGCGGCCTGTATATCCTCTGGGGATAACGTGCGTGGAACTGTGGGGAGCCGACAGAAGGAGTGGTAAAACGACTTGCAATAACATACTACTATAGCCCTCTCCTTCAATAGAAAGCCCTTTTCGTCCATGCTAACCCACTCATCGAGTCCTATCTGCAGCACCCTTGGTACCTCTATATCCCAATCCATGATCAGATCCCACAAAGCACGCACAAATGGTAACCTCTCCTTCCACTCTGGGTCTGCCAGCCCCTTCCGTGCAAATTCCGGTTGCGCATTGAATATGTGTGTTCTTCCAAGACTCCTGCCATAGAAGCACCTCAAGACTTTGCTCTCCCTCGTTATCATCCATTCTTCGTCGGACATCGACCGATGGCGTACACCAAATTTACAGATTCGACGGTCGAGAGAGAGGAGCTCGAACTTGAAATTCAGTTCGCATAATTTCCACAGAATGTACCGGACCGACTTCTCGTCAAGACGATCGTGGCGCGCATCGCTACTCGTGTTCCGGTATATGGCCTCAAAGTCTGGTTCGGGTTGGCGCATGATACGCAAGCGGATGTCGAGTTCCCTCAAGACGGATGCACTGACGTCTTCGGTCTTCGTGCTGACGGGGTGTTGAAGGTACCCGTTTTTGTTGTGGTTGAGTAGGACTCTCCATTCATGAGAGTCAAGCATGCGTCCAGCATCATACCCGTTGGCTGTCGTGTCTAGCCAAGGGTCTGCAATGGCTTTCCATACTCGTAGCATCCGGAAAAGTTTTTCCAAGTCGACATTATAGAAGATCTGCGGTTTGGGTGCAACGAATCGACGGTCGGCTTTCCATGTGCTGGATTGCATGAAATTCATGTCCTCGGGTTTGAGGTGTTCGAACGAATTGCGCCATGCCGGTATGGCCGGTGGGACACGATATTGCGTAGGTTCGTTATAGTCGTCTTTAAATAACTTAGACGGCCTCGTACCTAATTATTGTAAGCGTAAGTATGAATTTTGTGTTGATAGTTCCATGAGTATTCTTACTTGGTACAGCACGTGCTATTGTACGAGGTATGACTTGAGTGGGCGACAAATAACTGATTGGGTATGGAGATGGTTTCGCGGGCGGCTCATACATGTCTGGTGTAGCGCTGCGTTTGTAGTAGTCCTGCCGGATCGCCATTATGCGTTGCTCAGTCGCGACATAATCTCCTTTGAAGATGATAGTAGGGGGCTGACGTTCGGGGGAAGTGGCAACGCTGGACATATGAGGCTGTACAATGTTATGGATCCGTTGCTGGCTGAAGGAACCGTATCCTTGGATGCACCATACTGGAATGCCGGCTCGAAGCAACCGATTGACAATGTCCGGATCTCCCACTACGAAGGCTCCCATCATTGGCTGTATCGGAGCGTTTGTGGGGAGCGTGGTATTAAGCACGCAATCACGAATGCCGGAATACCAGTAGTACCACCCCGTAATCTCAAGCCACGCGCGGCTTCAATTCGGTATACCGGTAGAGTGTCGTGCTTTTTGTTGCGCCGAGGGTCGAAAGACTGGTTAAACAATTTACGAGTTTGTCTACGAGCAAATTGATGGGATTCGCGCTGGCCTCTGGCACCGTTCTGTACTTGTCTTCGATTATTCGTACTACATGTGACGCGACGGTCTTTATATATCGCGCAGCCTCATGTAGGAATTCCAGGTGCTCATCGATGATTTGCACCATGGCCTCGCTGATTCCACTAGTCGATTGATCGCTGGTAGTCCTCAAGGCGTTGGTAGGGAGCGGATACCACATATGACGGTATTCGGAAAGGGGATTGTTGTCTTCGGTCGGGACGGTCGGAATACAAAATAAATGCGCGTATTGTTTAGAGAAACATTGAGGCGTCACGATGTAGTCGTCCTCGCCATAGGTACCATCTTCACGTACAAAGGTTTCGTGGTCATCCATGTTGATTGTTGGAACCCAGTTACAGTTAATAGACGTGACAAACTTGTCGTTTTTTGGGAAATGGGCGCCGACATATCCATCCAGAGGACCAGCAAGGGCTATTAACGTACTAATGAGTTCGTACATCAAGTTATATCATTGGTATTGCTTACGAAGATCATCATGCTCGGTAAGATTGGGGGCTTGCTTTGGGACCGGTCGATCTTCGTCGAAGGGGGGTGGGCTTTCAGGGGATATATCGATTTGCGACATAGCTGTAGTTCGCCTGTGTCAGTGTCTATTTGTATGATATTACAATGTATTCATTTACTTGTTGGTCGACACGGCGTTCTTGCGGTCTTGCTAAATCGCAGTATGGGCACGAGGGCAAGGTATACCTATACGGATATGAACGGTTCGTTAGTTCAAATTTATATAAGCGATTGTGACTTTCGGACCACAGAGCCTACTGTCTGTCTGGCGCAATAGTACTGCGTATTGTCTAGCATCCCAACGCGCTCCTACACGCCATGTTTCAAGCCGAACCCGTTTCAACACACTGTGTCTGGCTGCCTAGCGGTTGTTTCGATCGTACTCATCGTGTCTGGTAGCCTAACTCGCCCCATGCGTCATGTCTGCCAGTAGTAAATATTCCTACTCGTCGTGTTTGAAGCCAGAACAGCTCTCGAACATCTTGTCTGGCAGCCGAACACATTCATCGTTCTGGCAGCCAAACAAACACTTATGTCTCACGACCGAAAGCGACCCCGGCAACCATTCACACTCTTATGCGACATACCAAGAATCAACGAAGTCGGGTGCACGAAATACGTGCACCATCTCACTGCATCGCGCGGTCAACAATCCAGCGCAAATTCAACATAATATTACCGCCCATGATATACATGGCATATTCCAGCCATTCGATCATACTCTACTACGTCGACGTGTATAGCACACACGGACTCCGCTCTCATAGGATTTTGTCGTCGACACACCCGCCACTTCTTGTAACCCTCATCCTCCTTTATCATACCGGCGCAGTCGTTATGGACCAGCATACCATCTCATCGCATGTATCGTGTGCACCTGCGCGTACTCCAGTAAGATAGCTAACAAATAGTATGACTCTTACCTTCAGGTTGCACTCGAAGCAGTGCTGTGATTGCGCACGAGGTCGATGACACGGTGAGCCTCGCAGATGTCGTTCACGAAGGGGGAGCAACGCGAAGCCTCCCAATAATCTGAAGGCGACGGCGACGCGAAGTCTGCCGAAGATAAAGGATGGGGCAACGCGTCGTCAAAGACAATGAGAGGGGCAACGCGTCGTCGAAGACGGTGAGGGGCAACACGTCGTCGAAGACAGTGAGAGGGGCAACGAAGACGGTGAGAGGGCCAACGCGTCGTCGAAGACGGTGATAGGGGTAATGCGCCGTCGAATACGAAGAACACGAATAGTTCGAGGAACTGAAGGCGACGCGAAGTCTGCCGAAGTTCTGAAGGCGACGCAGTAGTCTGCCTTGAAACCGTATCTGAAGCCGGCGCCGAGGGATTCGTCGAGGGAGATGCGAGGGATTCGTCGAGAGGAGGCGAAGGAGAGCAAGATATCAGGAACGAAGAGAGGCATGAGAGAATGCATGGTGTTCGAGCGCGCCGGAGCATGCCGGGTTAATATTTCGAAGTCCGCAAGCATGCTTGCGGACTTTGAATATTTCGGACTGTATCCGATAACTCGCCACCGGCACGCATATGGCTTCCGTTCCGGTCACTGTACTCGCCTTGCCTCTCTCTGTCGTCTCTCTCTGTCCTTCTCGACTCCCGGCCTGTTCAATACCTATCCATGGCAGACTACTGCGTCGCCATTTCGTTACGCTCATTGGTAGACTTCGCGTCACCTTGTTTGTCGAATCCATAGGCTGTATGTTCGCCTGGTACATGGTCGGTATCCGCAGTGTACCCAGGCACTGGTGGTGGTTCCTGCGTATCCATGGTGAGTACTAGCCATCTATCCTATGCCCCTCGATGACGATTCTGATGTCGACGCATATGAAGCGTCGACAGCACAAACGTCATCGGGGGGCATAAGACTATTTGGTTTTCCCCTCTCGGGGACTTCGGCATCCGCAGTATTGCATATACTTACTGTGCTGTTCATATGGTTCTCCCCTCTCTCTCTGTCCTTCTCGACTCCCGGCCTGTTCAATACCTATCCATGGCAGACTACCGCGTCGCCATTTCCTTATGCTCGTTGGTAGACTTTGCGTCGCCTTGTTCGTCGAATTCGTAGGCTGTATGTTTGCCTGGTACATGGTCGGTATCCGCAGTGTACCCAGGCACTGGTGGTGGTTCCTGCGTATCCATGGTGAGTACTAGCCGTCTATCCTATGCCCCTCGATGACGATTCTGATGTCGACGCATCTGAAGCGTCGACAGCACAAACGTCATCGGGGGGCATAGGATGATTTGGTTTTCCCCTCTCGGGGACTTTGGCATCCGCAGTATTGCATATACTGTGATGTCCATATGGTTCTCCCCCATCAGCTGTGATGCCGAGCCACAATATGTTATCTTCCTTATTTTACCCCTGCATTTGCTGACATTGCATCGCATACAGATATTCCGATGGATCGGACACTACAATACCATGTGTGCTAGCCTCGGTATATAACATTTCGCCTTGCGTCCTCATTTCCGTATTGCCCTCATGGTTCAACGCTCATCATCCCTTGTCCCTTTCGCCAGCTGGCATATCGACCAGTGGGATAATGACCGAGTCCAGCAATCCCTGTATTCGTACGAATACTCTCGTTTGTCCTTTCTGAGTCGAGAATCGTCCGTTATATGTGAGTATTTCAGTTTGTTTCATATTCTGCATATGCTTATATTCTCATAGCTCGCAGTGGTGTGCCCTCCCACGGTTTGGGCATAATTATGCCCAGCACTTCGCCGTATGTTTTTCTTTACGTATATTGCTATGATACTCATGTTCTCCAGTTATTCCCCTCGAGGTTGCATATTGATCATCCCCCCGTTCCAGCTCAATCAACCCTCTCCGTCGTGTTTGGAGGATGAGCCGCCGCCGTTAGAGTAGATGTGCACTCTCTTAAAGTTGTTCGGTATCGACGTAAGAACCTGTGCGGTAATGGTAGTTTTGGGCGATGGCGTTCATCGCTTTGCCGATTGAGGGTGGTTGCGGGGCCAGATGATATGCGTGTCGAGGTGTTTAGTTCGCTGTACTCAATCTCCGCCCGATAAATATATATTTGGGTCTCTTTGCATGATATGAGGTTTCTCGTGCACATATGACAAACATTTCGTTTTCCGTTGTGGCATATACAGACAGAAACGAACTGTGCCGAGTTCGTCTGAAAGATATTGTGGCACTGTAATCGGAAGTGTGGCACCAGACTGCAAGCTGATTGGCTCACTTTGGTGCCTATATTTAGGCCGACAGCCAGGAAAACGGTGCGTGTTTGACAAATCAATTTATTGGGGCTTCCAGCATCGCTTGTTCCCTTCTCTCTTTCCCCCTCGTATCGTCTCTCCTCCTTTGCTGTACTCGAGGCAACATCCCATCCTCTGCGTATTTCTGATACTTCTGGAGTGCTCATTATGAGTAACAACGACTTCTATTCCGGCCCTCGGTTTGATCTTCCTGGTGCCATGCCTGCACCTGGACTAGAAAATCGACCTGCTTACCTCCCTCGAATCTTCATTGTGGACAAACATGTTCAATACCCTGCTCATATATCTGGAACTATTTATGTGTATCTCGAAGATATTGCGGATGCTGTTCGCATGATTCAAATCCGAAATTTCACCAAGCGCTTGAAGATTCCTAGTGGTACTAAAGAGTACTTGACGAAAGAGTGTGGTGAGTCTATATACATTTGTATGTTCCTTATGCAGTAGACTTCGCATCGCTGCCAATTCGCCTTCCATTTATCTATACCACTTGGCAGACTTCGCGTCACCATCAGTTTGCCTTCCATTTATTTACATTGCTTGGTAGACTTCGCGTCGCCATTTCCTCCATATTCAAGCATGTTTGTTTCAATTTTTTTCATGTTGTTTCGGTCACATATATTTTATCTTCCCTAATGGTTCATCTTCTATGGTACAGGTTTGCTTCATGCTGAGGATGGTGATGTCATGTTTGCACGGCCCATCGGGGGCAAGGGTGATGGTGCGGAAGACTCTCTTCAGCTCATGGCATTCGGCAAGTAAGTTATATTGATGGGTCTAAATCTGATAGTCATGGTACTGATCCTTTCGATATAGACGATGGATAACGGTCCCGGTCGTCGAGCGCCTTCTGAATTTTCGCAAGAATATTCTTGGGCCTGACGAGCTCATCAAGCCTGACAGTGCCGCAGATGGTACTGCTTTCGAGCGAGAGGGTCACTGCGAAGGAATTCGCGGTAGTACGCGTGCCTATAACCTTGCAGTAGCCTTTGAGCGTCAGACTCAAGTCAGTGCGCCTGCCAAACAGGGGAAGGGTTCTGTTGGAGAACTGGCAGAGGGCGTGAAGCTTCGGCAAGGTGCTATACAGGTGCGTGTGCATTCAGTGTTTATTATTGTGTTGGCGCACTGTTCTAATTTATCTCGGTTCCAAGCATTCGACTGATGTGGGTATGTACTTTGCCGAAAAGTTACCAGGGCGATGGAGGGAGGTTGTTTCGAAGCAATCAGATCTCGTGAATGCACCTCGAATCGGCGTTGAAGATAATACGATGTTCGCAAATGTTCAAATGAATATAGCATCGGCCAAGAAGAAAGATGGTAAGGCCTTATTTTTTATTGCTAATGCGAGTTACTTACTATACTATAATCATCAGCTGGCAACGAGTTGAACTCTCTTGGTTTCTTCGGAGGCGCGCACATCGACAAGGGTGACTCTGAGGGCGCTCTTACTTGCATGTTAGCATGTAATAATGTTCCTGCAGATGGCTTTCATGGCGGGTTCTTTCACCTTATCGAGCTTGGTGTTTTTGTTACACTAGAAACTTTCAACTGTCTTTTCTTCTCTGGTCTCCGTCTCCATGGTGGTACTGCTCCAATTTGTACCGATTCCGCTTTATGGGTCGAATATGCCACACGTCTCGTTTTTGTGTTGTATCCTCCCCGTCACATTTTGGATAACTTCTCTATAACTGCTCTTGCTTCTTTTGATATTCGGCTTCGTAATGCGGAACAAGAACGGCAAGCTCGTATTGTGGAAGATAAGGAAGGGGGTTTGGCGGAGGATGGCGGAGATACCGATATAGAGGATGAAGATGTGATAGATGTGCCAGGCAAGAAGGGCAAAAAGGACCAGACTTTCAGAGTTCATTATGCAAACATGCTCAAACTTCCTCCTTCCATCAAGAACAAGTGAGTCCACTTATACTACGATGTTGTTGTCTTCTAAATATTTGTATATAGTCCTCAGAATCCTCATGTTCAGTCCCTCGAAAACCATGCTACTTTTGCTCAAGATGGTCATGTCATCATGCCCCGTCGAGCTTGGATTACTTTCATTGTTCGTAATATTTACCTGATGAACATTGGGCTTCTATGTCAACTTGGTATCAACTCCGGAGTAAGTATCTCTTGATTATCAACACTTGCTGTTCTGATTATTTGGTAGTTGCGTGTGGATCCGACTGCTTTTCTGCAATCGTTTACTGTGTGTGGCGATGATCACTATGATATATCTGCGGAAGACATCAAGCGAGTCTTAGAGGACTGGAAATATGCTCCCCATATCAATGGTATGTTGAATACTATCCAATACGGCTTGTATACTCAAGCATTTATCATGTTCAGACTTTGAAGCAGATGCTCCTCGCCGCGAAGCCGCCCGAGAATGGCATGATTGGGTGTCACATACGTCTAGGTTTATACCCTTCACCTACAACAGCACATATGGAGAACGATTAGAGATTGCAATTTCCAACTTTACGCCTGATTCGGGTTTGATTCGAAATCGTATGTGATACGTATTGTTTTCCTTTTTGTCATTATTCCTGATGTTTTGTACTCATATAGAGTCCTACGAGAGCCAGTTAAAGAAACAAAAGGAAGGTCCTCGTGGCCACAAACCCTCGAATAAGGCTAAAGGAGAGGGTGCTCGCAGTGAGTAATGTATTATTCTGATATGCACTCTGTCACTTATATATGCTTGTCATAGAATCACCGCGAAATAAGGCAAGCGATACTCCGGGAACGTCGAAGACTAAAGTTGGTGGTAAAGATGAAGATGACGATGACGATGAAGATGACGATGATGATGATGATGGGGAGGAGGACCAGGATGAAGATGACACCGGCGATGAGGGTGAAGAAGGTGAAGAGAACAGTGGAGATTTAGACGAGCAACCGTCGGCAAATGAGAAGGAGGTTATCAGGAGAGCCATTCAGCATACTGTTACAATCGTCGCCACAGGGTCAAATTCTATGCGCAGCACTGTCCGGCCTGTCCGGCGCTCTAGCAGACTTAATGCAGGCAAGTTGAATAAATGACGTGTTTACTTTTTAATTAACCTATATTGTTGTTTACAATGTATCCAGAATACTATCAATCGGATCCCGTGTCGTCAAATGAACCGATTTACATCTCCGATAACCCCTACGCCAATATCATTGCTTCGTCAAATCGTCTCAACAATCGCATCGTTCGAGCGGATGATGGAGAAACTATACTCAAAGACCTCTGTAGGATATTCCGCGAGTGTAAGTAATAACATTTCGTATCGCTATGCTCAATACTTATTTTATATGTCTTAGTACCCGTTCCGCACCAGAATTGGTTCTCAGCACGTTCTATCTCCAGCCAGTTGACTGCTTATCGACAGAGCATATCATATCAACAGAATTCTCACCAACCTCCTTCCCTCGATTGGGACGTCGTTTTACGCCGTCACGTATTCCCGTTCTGGCAACGTGTCAGTCGGCACAACGAAGAGTGGCCATCCGTGGAGACTTTGCAGTCTGCATTGCTCAGCATGCGAGCTGTAAAGCACCTGACGGACGAACTTGACTCGACCTACGCTTTCATACGCTCTACACGGTACCACATCCTTATGGCACATTGCTTTGCATGGCAATGGTTGGAGTCCCTCTGCTCTTACTACTCTCAGCCTCACATCGCAAAGGACACCGATTTCACAACATGGCCTTCCAGATTAGCTCGATATCTCTACATGATGTTCGAAATGCGACTCGCGACTTTCACCCTTTGTCCAGCCGACTATATTCCTTATCTTCCCACGGAAATTCAGTCGTTTCGCACCATTGGCAACATGGATTATTCTATCCTGGATTGTGTACCGTCCCTTCAACAACGTGTTTATATCCAGATGAAGCATGTTTTACGGAAGTGGTTGGACTTTCCGCAGGACAATCTAGCAGACAGTCGGGCATGGATTGTACAGAACTTTATTGGCGTTTTAGGGACTGGTTCTCTTCTACTGGACGAGACATGGGAGATTTATCAGCATGTGCCGAAATATGTGCTAGGACGAAAAAGCAATCGGGCGCGCACCATCTTCATGCATCAACTCATCCCTTTCCACGACCACATCGAACAATGCGAGGCTGCGGACAAGACGTCTCCAGCTCGGACCATGTTGGATCAGTACCGTTTGGAGCATGCAGAGTATGGGACTGGCAGAGATCTCAGCATGGTGGTGGCACGTTCAAACTCCATCGAATTGGTAGATTCTTTCCAAGTGCGGACTTCAGATGGTGATATCGATGCATATGGTGTTGATGAATTCGGGGGACTGTATGAGGGTAACATGGATGTAGACGCAGATGCAGTCATGTGGCCTAGCCCTTCAATGGAGGTATGTTTGTAATATTGTCCCTACTTCATTTGCCTCACATCATCACCTTTTCATACAATCAGATACGTTCGCCTGAAGATCACGATTCTGTTCAAGATATTGCCCAGTTTGAAACACGTTCCTGGCAAGTGGAGGTATGATACAATATTGCTCAATTTATAACACATTCTCATCATAGCCTTTACGATTTAGATGTCTTATGGAATGAATGATGCATCTGGGCATGAAGAACATACATCTTCGTCTTCTATGAATCATCCAGATCTTTCACCAACAAACTCCCGGCCTTCAAAACGAACCCTTGATATATCTGATTCTCATCAGTCGAACAAGCGCACCAAGCATACGCCTTCCATCCACAGCTCTATTACACCTCCATCATCACCATCCTCTTCTACTTATCCTTCGCCTATTTCAATCGCTCGCATGCACCAAGCCCTCCGAGTCTTACGCAAGCTGGCATTTTTCTTGGATTATCCATATCCACATGAAAATGTGCAGGGATCATGCTACACAGGATCTTTCGATGGACAAGCGGCGGAGGATCTCAAATTGTTGAAGAAGGTTGCTAGTAATTTGGATGGATTCCTCCCATTCCCTCGACGCGCTCCTTCCGTCCTACATGCGATGTTGCCCTCTGGTCTCACAGATCGTGTTCTCAGTCCATCACTGCTATTCAGCGCGATATCCTTCCGTGCCGTTTTCTTCAAGTCCCTATATCACTTTGATCATCCGACCTTCCTGCAAGATTTCGAGGAGTACAAACGCCGTGTTCAAAGCAGGCCACAACACCCCTCTCCAGTTGTTACCCCTGGAGCTACCACCGATTCATACTGGGCAAATCCGAATCAATACAGCACTGGACCGCACAAGCCTTTAGTCGAGCATATCAGCACATACTGGTCGTCAGTCAATCTCGAATGGTGCTATCCTCCTCACAAGGTGTTCAAAGGCTACAATTCCAACAATCCTCCACCATCCGTTCCACCATCTCCCATCCCATTTCAGCCCTTCATGAGAGACTACCTTTGCTTCAATAGGAAGTCAAAGGCTACGGGAGACAGAATAAATCTTTTCCCAAATCTCGGTGGTTTAATTGGATATCTTTGTGCTTTGGATCTTTCTTATGCAGGTCATGTCGAGAAACCGTCCATAGACGATATTGTTGATGCTATGGTGAATGTCAATTCAGGGGGAATCAGGGGTCTCATTGCACTGGGGCTGGTGGAAAAAAATGATGGTAAAAAAAAGTATTCTGTTATTGAAATTCAGCAGGCTTTTACTGTACTGCACACCTTTTTAGACGACCATCTGACAGACGAAGAGAAAGAGAAGATGGTATTTGATCGCCCTATGTCTGAACACTTCTCTTGTAAACTTTCCAAACTTGTTGGTCTCAAACTGGTTGTATTTAAAGACGATGAGCCTTTTGATTCTTGTGCTTGCTGCAGTTAGCTTATTCTACTTTTATTGTCTTGTTTTGTTATTCCTACTCTACAATAGACTCTGCATTGTTTTTATCTGACTTGTATGTTTGATTCAAGCATCTGGAGCCTATACCATAACTCGTATTCTGAATAGCAGACATTTGAATTGCTACAAATGCACTCTAGCCAGTACTGTCTTTGACACTGATAAATTGTACTCAGACATTTAATGTAAGTGTTCGCACTGATGTCGATTTGTATCACACTGATTGTTGTATCAAATACAGGATTGTCAGCCTTCCCATCTAAGCTATATCATCATTCAAGCTTAAACCATCGATGTTCAAGCTGCCGTTTCGAAACCTTCCCTCTGCTCCTGATTCGCCCTCTTTCGATTCAGCCATACTCTCGTCCACTCTCTCTATATGTTCCTCTGTTCTCACTTTTTTCGTCGACATCTCGCCAGCCGGAGAAAACTGAAGATATCCTATGGGCCGTTTGATGGCTATACCTCTCCCGGCCTTCTGATGTTCATTTCGTGCACGTACAATTGATTCGTAAGTCTGTTCCTTCAGTCAGAGCGAATCGATTGTATATATTGTTGCTAACGAACCTGTTGCATGGCATTATCAAGCATAGCTATGCTCTTCAGTTGACATATTAAGCGATGCTGTATAGTCTTGCCTCCAGAAGGCACAGTCTTGAATGCTATCTGAATCTGTACTAACTGTCCGGCTCGAAACTGTGCCGGATTGAAGCAGACAAAGCTGCAATCATTTCTATATTATGTCAGTATTGTATGCTCTGTATAACATGAGAACCAGACTAACCCTGTTTTGCGACGGTGAATAGGTATATATTGGTAGTATCCCACTTCATTAGTGGACAGGTGAACCATGTTGGATGTAGCCGCACGGGAAAGATGCTGATATGGATCAACATTTGATCCAAAGGGTATGCTGAGCTCGCCATTTGCATGCTGAATAGGCGTGAAATAACGGTTGGAGTACTCCTTCGAAGTCATATCGGAGTCTGTTGTGTTGAGTCCGTCCCAAGGTTTCAATGTACCTTCTTTATAATTGGCTGACATCTTTTGATGAATGGCCTCGATGGCTTGTCGATCCTCGACGAAATGCTTGTTTCCCCATCCATGGATAACCACACTTTGTTTCGCGAACTGAACGCGGCGTGGAAGGCTGGGTCCGTCAATTCCTCATATAATTATCATATAAATTGTAACTGACTTACTCTGTTTTTGCAAGAATTGGAGGAAGTGTAAAATCCCACAAAACACCCTGCACAACAAATATCGCCTCGATGCCTTCAGACTCCGAGCTTCCTTCATTGAAAAGAAGTGTTGAATTTCCGTCTGTATCCGTATATATGATGGTACGTTCGTCGAGTGTTGGCAACTATAAATTGAACAGTTAGCATATAGAGTTTGACAATATATTTGATCTCACATTCTTCAAGGGATAAAGAAAGTTCGAAGTATCCATTTGACCTCTGACCTCGGCCAGGACACCATCGATATGTGCGGCTGCATAATGTCAGTGCCTTCAGTTATTATTTTATATGTTAGACTGAACTCACTGTTCTGAGAAGATTCCATATAGCGACGGAAGTCTGCAACATCAAAAGTCATGTTGGATACTGGATTGGGCAGAACGTAGCCTATTTAGATGGGAAGTTAGGGCTGATAACAGAAGACGGTATGTCGTCTCTTGTACTTTTTTCATGTTGCAGCATGTTTTGCTGATCTAGGGTTGGGAAACGACTTCAACCATATCTGGCTCGATCTGAATATGGCTGCCATTAATTCATGTACGATCTATGAACGGAGTTCATAGCAGTACGGTGGAAGTATTTCATACCAGCACGGTGGAAGCACTAGCACCGATTGAACGTTTGAGGGTAACCTATTTCGCTTGGTCTGCGTGCCCCTCTCGCTTGTCTCGCTTACCACTTGTGGCGTATGTTTTAGGTTCTTTATGTCGCTTATTTTGTTTCTTTTTATATGAAGCCTGCACGATACGCAGAATCCACGGATATTCCCCGAGTCCCTTGTCAATTGACTTATCCTCAAGTTACTTCTGGTTATACTTATACTGCTCGTCATAGAGTCCTTGGGTAAGAACCCTATTTTGTTCCTGGTCGAATGCGATGTTAATATCAATCCAATACAGTATCTACAACATCTGTCATACACATTCAGTGACTGTGTCTGCCTAAGAATTCCACATATCGGTACAATATAGTCTTTGTTCATGGTTTTATGTCGCTCATATTCTTCAAGCTCCATATCTGTCTCCTCAACATGGCATTCAGAAGACCATTGCGCAGTGTCGAGCAGCGTTTCAGGTAAGCACAATTCATTGTACTCCGTCTGTGTGTATTCCGATGACTTACGGATATATAGGGTTGATGCTTTGAGAACCATGTTGCCAGAGATACTACTCACCATCATGTCGTTCCTCCCTATGAGCGATATTGCTACCTGTACACAGGTTTGCCAATCGTGGCTTGGTCCTGCTATACTTCGTCTCTATCGGGAACTCGATTTTGGTTTTTTCGCGGGAATGCTGGGCCTGCCTTTCATGTACGATGTGCCAGATCCAACTGAACGCAGACTGGTATGCCATAGTAAATTTCGTCTTCACGTGCATTATGGCTTACGATTGCAATATGTGCTCCCAGGTCATCCCCAAGGAGATGATCATCCCGAAGTGGCGCTGGGACCTATACAAGCCTCTCTTCGTACACACCAAAGCACTGTATGACAACTCCGTTTATGGTTATCGGGGAATGACGCCGGAAAGCATAGATGTCATTGCTCGCAGCTGGTACTTTGGAGCCATGTTCCCGAACCTCGAACATCTTTATCTTCTGTCGTCATCGCTTATCCCGGTCTTCAACTCTCCATCCCTCAAATCCGCCCATATCACGCCTGCTGCCGCTCGTGATACCAATATCAGCTTCCTTGGCGCTCTTAGTGAAACAGCAATGAACAGCCATAGTCTTACGGAAATCATGATCATCCCAGGCGAGGTCGACGAGGGTCCTATCGTCGACCACGATGAAGTCCGAATCGCAAGTATGAACGCATATACCATGTCCAGAACACTCATCCGCGTCTCACTTCCCCTCTACTATCTCACCCCGTGCCTTCTTCACATACTCTCAACTCTTCCGTGCCTCGAAATCATCGACATGGTCACCAAGACGAGCGCATCCCCTACACTCGAAGATGGCTGGACGGGCCCGATGGATGCCGTTGGATCCTTCCGCACTTCTCAGGATAACTCATTCCCGATGTTACGCGCTGGATCCTTCCCTATGCTCCATACCATCTGTATCGCATTCAATGATCCCATGGCCGCGGTCGAACTCCTTCGCAAACCCCACTTCCCTGTCGACCGCATTTCGCGTTACACTATTCGTATCAGCGGCCAAGCATACACCAACATGTCGGTCGGTATTCGTCTCATCATCGAAACCCTTGCGCAGAGGAAGAGTCCGGTTACGGACCTCACCATTAATACCGCTGCAGCGAGTGGCACACCGGTCAGCGCCCTATCCCACCACGACGTGATCTCATATTATGATCTTGTCAAGTTACGCGAACTATCACATCTTCTCCGATTTCATCTGGTACACAATAGCCCAGTCAACATCACGAACCATGGACTCACCCTACTCATCAAAAACTGGAACATCAAATCGCTCATTCTTAATCCCAGCCCACTCATCTATACTCTATCTTCTCTCACTCCGGATGTACTCCTTGAAGTCGCAAGAAACTGCCCAACAATACGCGAGTTAGGCTTGTTTCTGGATACCTCCATAGGCGACCTCACATTACCCACATTTGGCCCTGTCATGTCCAGACTCGAACGCCTTCATCTCGGAAACTCCTTCATGACTGTTGGTGATCACAGAAGATCGAGACAGATCGCAAGCTTCCTGTCGAACATGACAAACCAACTTCCTTTCATCCTTATGCCCCGTGAGCAAGAGCCCCGACTGGACGCAACCTTTCACCGTATTGTCATTGTTGACCCGACAACGCTTGGTTTGGAATATGATGGTGAGAATCAGTTACCTTACTTAGATGAAGAGTGGAGGTTCGTCTGCAACAACTTAGAGTCGGTCAGGGAACGGGATTTGGCGTTGGTGGAGGTGGAATGTCTCCGTTATAATATCGAGGTATTACATATGACGTGTAGGAGGCTTGAGAGTCAGTTGGTTGTTGCTAAAAGGCTACCCCGTCAAGGAAAGTCTACGCCCTTCTTCTCCAAATAGTTTAACCAGCTCTTATTGTTCTTTGGATTACATTACAATCATTCTTTATTACTCATACCTATCTGACTTCTAATAATTCCATAATAACCTTCAAACGTTTCGTAAAAACAATGGTCAACTTCCAATATTTTTCCTTTTCCCTTGTACTTAGTCTATTCAGTCCTGTGGGTATATGTGTCTGATGAAGACGAACATCTTTCGCTAATGATATTGTTCTGAGCTTCTTTCGATCTATTTGGCTTCGTCCTTGAACCTCCTGACATTAATGGTTTTCATTCTGATACTTCTCTCGATCTGTTCGACTTCGTGTTTGAAGCTATAACTTTATGCATTCCGAGGCTTCTCTCGATCTGTTCGACTTCGTGTTTGAAGCTATAACTTTATGCATTCCGAGGCTTCTCTCGATCTCATCAGCTCCATATTTAGAGGTATTTAATCAAGAATCTTCATTTCGATACTTGAGAAGCTAATTTATATAACTTTCCTCCGACATAAAAGTCTTCTTGACTTCACCGTCTACTGTTTCAGGGCGATGTTATTGTTCGGTTGCACATGTATCATGTTTTAGTAGTTGTAACATCCTGGATTGACTTCGCACTTCTTCATTCCATTACGGCTAATTATGGGGGCTCAGGTGATTATTTCCCTCGGTTCCTTAGCCGACCTCGCCTTTCTTTCGTGATCCCTTTATATCCCTTTATATCGTGCATCACCAACTTTCCTTGAACCCACCCTTTCTCGCTTTCTTCGATAAATCCTATCTAATTCCTGAGTAGTTATCAGCCCTCACCCTGCACAATTTCACCCACGAATAGTGAGTATCGAGCCTTTCTTTCCAATTTCAGTTTACTGATAAGAAGTCATCTAGGAAATTTGCCTTTCAATCATGTCGAATCTACATCTTTACCCTCTTCAACCTAGCCCTTTGGGGTCAGTTTGGTATTTCAATATAGTCATAAATATCGACTAACGGTACATGCATTATACCTACTGCTAGGAGTGCATGGTCTAGGATTGAAGCCGCTCCTGAATTGGTGACCAACATTCTTGGCCACTTAGAAAGACACGAGCAAGTTCCGGCAAGCCGCCTCAACAAGAAGCTTAACTTCATAGCCACCGCGTTGATATGGTATCGTGTAGACTGTAGAGTCTTTTTGTTCCTTGCCAGAGGCATTATGTGGACCAAAGGCACCTATAGACAGCGCATGATCGTGAGTTAGACGTATTCTGTTGTCTTTTGTCCAATTGCTCATACATATATATTTGTTAAGAGGCTCCTCCGAACTCCTACAAAAGCGGACTGGGCACGGTGGAAACCTCTTGCTGAGATGACAAGAGAATTCTCCGATCAGTCCATCGACTCTGCTTATGGTCTCGAGGATCACGATATCTTCAGGCTTCTCGCCACTCGGCCAGAAATGCACCTATTCCCGAACTTATCCAAGGCCTACATCATGGAGGCTCATCTTTCGCCACTTTTCTTATCGCCCACTATTTCCGAGCTTCACCTCACCGTTAGCTTCGAGGATCAGCACGGTCACGCTTCATATATGGAAGACACTGCTCCGTGGATATCCGACTACATTTCCAACCTGAAAGCATTGCACGTCTATCCATGGCGCATATTGCCCACCTCCGACTCTCATTCTCCTGCCACGGCCACCATTCGTTCTATTCTCCACGGCGCTTGTAAAACTCTGACAGAGACCAGTTTCCCGGTGTACTACGCTGACTGGAGAATGCTTCAATCCCTTCTACAATCCGAAAACCTCCGCTCGATCCAGTCCAATCATCATTCGCTGGCAGGCCCCGCAGAGCCAATCCTATACACTGGATGTCGAGATCTTTTATTCTGGACCTATGGCGAGATCAATTTTCCAATGAACCTGCACCTTCCGTTCAAAAACCTCGTGGATCTGGACATTTCCTTTCCCTATCCCGGTATCGCCACACAACTCTTACACGAGACTGTTCTTACTCAACTCAACTCTCTTACCCTCCATTTCACGGTCTTAACGTCCAACAATCTCGGCGTTCCCTCTTCTGCTCAATTCTCGCTTACGCCCCTATTCTACCGGATATATGACTCTGCCCCGCAAGTCCAGCATCTGAAGATATTCATGGTTCCATCCCAGCAGAAGTGTTCTTCCAGTATAAGGAACGTTCCCGTTGTCAACTGGATCGACTTGTCTCCCATAACCCTCCTCGTTAACCTCGTTTCCTTCGATATCACTCACATCTATCCAATCGACATATCGACACATCATATCGCCAAGATCACTCGTGAACTTCCATCCTTGACAAGACTTATCCTCAATCCCCACCCTGTGATCATACGCAATACTTCGTATGGTCTCGATGTATTATTTGCAATGGCCGCATGGGGAAAAACCCTCAAAGAGGTGGGAATATTCATGAACTACCACGAAACAATGCCCTCCATCCAAGAAGGCGTCTTCTTCAGCCTACTTCGCACTTTATACGTTGGCCTTTCCTTTACGCCTGAAGATGATACGATATATAATGCAACATGTCACGCATTATATTATCTCCTACCTCCCAGCGCCAAAATCAAGACGTATCCCTCCTCCCTTGCACCCTTCCGTCCTGTCTCGACATTTTTTGAGGACAATGATGGATCACTCTCCGAATTCTCAGACACCTGCCTTGATGACTTGCAAGATGCCTGGGGAGGGGTAAGAGGGGCTATCAAACAGATTCGTGAGACTGTTCTCCTTGTTCATGGGAGCCGGATGGTGAGAAGTGAAGACATGGAGGCCAATGGTGAGTCTTGACCATCATATTCACTGTATGTTAGTCGTAGCTCATTATTGTCGTAGGATTCCTATCTTGAATATGTTCCTTATCATCTCATATATATCCTTCTTTAATTGAAGTAATACGATAATACTTGACAGTACTTGTTTAGACATAATATTTCAACATCTTTTCGCTAGTTATGTTATGAATACGATATAGTGTGTCATTCCTGGGATATTCAACTCTGGACATGGAATTAAGAGGGTCTTTGGACTCTTCTATTTTTAATGCCCATCATACTTCTATCGATCATTCATATATTTGGTCAAGTTCTCCCATTATTGGGGTAGTTCATTTGGGTGTTCTTCTCTCTGCACGGTGACTCAAAGCAGTAAGTGCCGTGATGAGGGTCTTTATCCTATGTTTCAGATACGTCTTCTATTCTCATTCGACTTGGACTGTTCCTGATTCGCTTTCTTATAGATAATAAAGGTCTTTGCCTCGAATCATTTCCCTCTCTGTCCATTCTTGCATTGCCAGGTGTGCATGTCTACTCCCTTCTGTTATATTGTGCTACTACGACTGATCCTATTCTGCCTAGTCAAAGGTCGATTCAAACATAATCCATCAAACCACAATCTCCATAACTCGTCTTAAGTAAGCTATCAGTATATTTATTGCTATTCCCTTCAGTAACCCATGAGTTGCAGATCTCGAAACAATGTCTCGGAAGCGTATCAACCAAGCTGGTCTTCAATGCCTGGTCGACTACCCGTACGCATGCCCATACATCTTGTATACAATCAAATTCCTCATCTAGATATTGAACTAGGCAAGTAACCGGTTGGCCACGCCTTCAACAGGTCCCAGAACTCTTGACCCAAATACTTGACAATTGTACCATCAATACAAGAGTTGCTATGACCCGTGCTAGCAAACTAGTACGCGATTGTGCAACAGCCGCGGTGTGGCACACTGCAAATCCCAAGGTGTTTATGGCTCTTGTCCGCTGCTCGTTATCGCAGGTGCCAGCTATATTCGATGAACACGATGCCATAGTACGTACCAACATTGTATTTGATAACACGGTGACTGATTATCCTGTAGTATATACGCACTGCTCCAACGGCCCTTCAATGGAAATCATGGCTACCGCTTGCAGAATATGTGAAAGTATTCCAGGACAATTCCCTCCACGACGGTCACAAGCTCACCAAGGATGGCATCCAGCTCCTGAATACAACTCGCCCAGTTCTTCATATATTCCCCAACCTACACACCGTCTACATCTTCGACTACAATTTCCTGCCAATTTTCATGTCACCGAAACTCAGCATAATACACCTCACCATGACGCAAGAGTTTCTCCAGGACCAGAATTACATCAGTGCCATCACCTCTGCACTCGAAGACTACTGCCCTAACATCACCGAGCTCCACATATATCTTGTCAATAAATGGGATTGTCAACTTAGCCACAAGAAGACCATCCAGGCACTATGCGCTCTCATCACATCATTCTGCTCCACCCTTATCCATGTCAGCTTTCCGGTACATCTTGTCACTTACGAAATCCTCGAACGACTCATGCGCTGTCCATACCTTCAATCGATAGGCCAATCGATACAACCCGACAGGAGTGGCCTACGGAGTCATACGGATATATGCAAAGGGTTGAACTGCCATGTCATCAATTCGTATAAACGACATGACATAGAGTTACCGCACGCACCATTCCCTGTGATCGAAGAAATAGACCTTCTGGTGCCAAACTTCAAGGCTGCTCGCATTTTATTTTGCTGCTACACGTTTTCCAATCTCGACACTCTCAATCTCTCCTTCCTTGGGGCGAAACAGGTGGAATGGTCAAAAACAAAACGCGACGATTTATTACAAAGCATACATCATTGTGCACCTCAGCTCAAACATCTTGGCCTATTCATTCTTTCCCCATCATCTTCATTCGTCAAAGACTTCCCGAGGATTCAATGGTCGAGTCTTCAAGTTGTGGCAAGATTCACACTCCTCGAATCATTTCAGCTCCTTCATCCTTACCCGGCTGAAATCACTCGCTCTCAGCTCGGTATACTCCTCTCCAAGCTCCCGCACCTCACCAAATTCATTCTTAATCCGCATCCCGGAGTGCATACAGTATCTTCTTTTGGAGTGGATGTTCTTTCAGAGGTGGCCAGACGGAGACCAGAGTTGCAGGAGTTGGGATTGTTCTTCAATAAGAACGTACAGCTGCCACCAAAGAGCACCCTGGTAACTCCTTTCCATTCCCTTAAAATATTTTATCACGGAACTTCAACAGTACCTGGAGCCCAAAAACCTTTCAAAGATCTTGCTTGCTACTTACTGTCCATTTTACCTCCTGATACTGAATTTTTGCATTATCCTGAGAATTTCGCCTTTTTGAAGAACAAGCGTAGTTTTTCTATTCTTCCGATTACCCATGAGGTTTTAGATGCTAGATTACGTCCTGCTACTGATGCGGCTCAGTTGTGGAGTCAAGTGAAGGAGACCATGGATCTTATTAGGGACTTGAGAGTGGATTTACTCATGAATTAGTCCATTGTTTATTGTTCGTTTTCGTTCCCATACTATTTTGTTTTTGACCCTTCACGATCCCTCACATTGAGTAGTACAGTAACAATAGGGCTCAATTCTCTCAATCTGATTAATGATTCAATGTTCCTGTTGTCCGTGCATTGGCCTTTGTGCGTAGATGATTCTATCCATTAAATATTCAAACTAACAACGCAACTTGTAGATTCTTCACAGTAGAGGGAATATCAAACAGTCCTTTCCATCAATACAAAGTTCATGATTCTACTCTCGATCATTATTGTCATATGAATCGGTTCTACTCTCGATCGGTATATTGACCCCCTTCTTCTGGACCTTCTAGTGTCATGTAAACTAATTTCATTCACGGCTTTCATTTATGTTGAAGACCAGAAGACTCATTTCGGTACCTGCGACACCCTGAAACATGTTTATTGTGATGTCTGTATTGGTTAAATACTGACAGTATCTTGATGCTTGTTCAACTCACATCCCATCCCGGTACTTCATTGCAATCGTCTCACCCAGCTTTGCTTTCATACCGACCATGCCTCGTAAAGCTGCCACTGCCACCTCTGGAAATGCTGCTCGCCAGTCTCCTGCACGTCGTAATACCCGAGGGTTAGTCTTCCTACTTTGCTTATACATCGTGTAATACTGATTGTATATATGCATAGACAAGTCAAATCTGACAAGGACAAAGATAACAAGAAGGGGGTTGGAAAAGATGACATTCAGGAAAGGTATGTGTTCATCCGTACTCATCACATATAAGTGTCATGATTGTGACTCAATAATTGCATTTAGTACCAACAAGAAGTTTGCTAAGCGCAAGCATACTTCCGATAATGAGGATAACGAAGATGTCGATAAGGCTACTGAGTGCGTATACACTCTTTCTATAAGTTTATGATGCATATATTCATTTATGCAATAGTCAAACTCCTCCACCGTCTAGTCCACCTGGTATATCTCCTCCTTCGACCCCTTCTCCTTCGAAGAAACTTAAAGGGTCTGGGTAAATATATAACATGCTTAAGTGAAATATATATTGATGTTACCATGCATTTGATACAGGAAGAGTACACTGGAAGGTGTGATCATCGAGTCCCCTTCCAAATCACCTAGGAAGAAGTATGTTATTTTGTTTATTCATCTGGTACTATACTGATGTGTTATCAGGCCGGTTCGCTTCGAGACTCCACCACCTTTGGAAGTGCAAGTCCCAAAGACACCAAGGTCTTCGGCAAAGAAACGTAACATTGAGTGTGTATAAATTGATCATCAGCTTAGTATGCTTATTAACCTGCGGTTCTATCTTTTCTTTAAGAACTCCCTCATCTGGTAATCATAATAAACGTATCAGGTAAGCTGTATCTTACACATATATCTCTATATCTATTACCTGACTACATTATTTGTGTTTATAGCAAATACTCCGTTGATGCAATGGATGTAGACGATGACAATCCGTTTATGTCCAAGGATATTAGCCAGCAAAAAGGGTATACCAAAGGGTACGTACTTTTATATTGATTATACTTGTTGTATCTAACACATTATTCAGTTCTGCGAGTCAATTATCGAATCAACAACTTCGGGAGAAACAAGCTGCCCTTGCACGTCTCATAAAAGAAATCGAAGCTCAGATAGGGGATACTGGAGATCAAGGTCAATCTGAATCTTACAGTGATGAAGAGAATAATATGACTGTCGATGGCTATGAGAAGGATGACTTTGTTGTTGACGATGAGGCTGAAGATGAGGATGATGCTGCAGATGAGGAGGGTGCAGAGGATGAGGATGCTCAGGAGGATAATGGACAGCAGGAAGGTACACATGGAGAGGAGGAGGAAGAGGAGGAGGAAGAAGAGCCTGAACAACCCAAGCGCCTAAAGACTTCCAAGGTTAATTCTTTTATATATCCATTACCAGCACTTTCTGATTTTATGTGTTATTAAAATACCATTAGGCCTCGTCTTCAAGAATTGCTGACAATGGCAATGATACAGATCCCGGGGAACTTTCTTCTGACTCTATTCAAAGGCGCAAGAAGATTGCCCAAGGAAAGAAGAAGGCGGCAGACCCAGAGGTTGAAAAGGACGGTGCAGGTTCTATTCAGGTTCATGGGTATTCATGTTTTGTTTGTCTTTTCACATGTCTGCATCTCATATTTTGACTTCTTCAGGTTCCCAAAGAAGAGCGGTGTCAATGTCAAGGATACCAGGTATTAGCGTCATATTCTGCATATCATTTGTGTCATTTGGCTCACTTTTCTCTTTCAACAGGAAGTACAACATGTCCATTTGTAGTGTGACGAGCTGTACCCTGCAGCACAAACTTGTGCAGGCAAGCTTCAGAAATGTTCCCCCGTATCCAGAGTAAGTTGTTTAAATGATTATCTATATTTATAAGTATGCTCATGAGCATTTAGGGCTGGTGGTATCACTGGTTCCACTTCAACAATTGATCTAGATTTCTTGGATGATAGCTCTTTCACTGGGATTCAGATACCGTGAGTTATTTCATTGCAGTGATACAATATTTTGATACTGATTTGTGGTACAGGGCACTGGTTCAGCTTCTCACATTCACCCAGGCTGGACGATTTCACAATCCCGCATATGCCAATCCCGATGATTTTTCCACCGCCTTTGGAGTATCCACGAACCCGACCATTCACATTCCTGATACTATTATTCCGTCGCTCTTCATTTCCTTCGGAATCGTACATCAATCCAATACCATCAAAGGTCGAGCGATCGGTGCCAATAGTACCAAGGGGTATAAGGATATTCAGATATACCATATCAGTCAATATCACGAGAGGGCCATTGCTTTCATGTGCCGAACCCTTGGCGAAAGTGAACTGTCTCTTTATACCTATGAAGGAGCAGTTGGGTACAGTACAATGTTTGGTGAACTTGGTGAGCAATTATATTACCTGCTACTTGAAATCAAATTAACTTATAGTCAACTTATCCACAGCGTCACCGACTCGTCCCTCTCCGACCAAGAAGAAGAACAGTGCTGGCCCCTCCTCACCCTCCAAGCCCAGTCCCCTTGACAACATGCGGCGAGCCAACATGAAGAAGACTGTCCCAGTTACCAATTCAATTGGCTTGCCCATTGGAACTCAAGGTAAATAAACATATTATGCTCACAATTGTCACATCTAATATGCGTTAATTTATAGTGCCTGTTTTCGACTGCACTGCACATTTTCAACAAGTGGGGAAAAGGCCGGTGAAACCGCTTCCGAGCATGGACACTTTCTTTGTTCAGTCTGGACAAAAT